GAGCAAACGGTGGAGAGGAAAAACTCCCTGCTAATCAGGAAGAAACCTCCAGCAGAACCAGAACCCGAAAAGGCTCAGGCTATATAGGATTTATGAAAAAGGAAAGTCTTCAGTCTAATCTTAAAAGTAGACAGAGTGTCAGCCTCACGGACAGAAACTGGAAGTTGGTTCCACAAGAGAGGAGCTTGATAACTGAAAGCTCTGCCTCCCATTCTACTTTCAGAAACTGGAGGAACCACAAGTAAACCTGCAGTCTGACAGCGAAGTGCTCTGTTAGGAAAATATGGAACAATAAGATCTTTGATATATGATGGAGCTTGGTTGTTAAGAGCTTTGTATGTTAATATTTTAAATTCTATTCTGAATTTGACAGGGAGCCAGTGGAGAGAAGCTAAAACTGGAGAAATATGATCTCTCCTTCCAACTCTTATTAAAATTTTAGCAGCAGCATTTTGGATTAACTGAAGACTTCTTAATTAGTTTTTTGGATGCCCAGATAATAAAGAATTACAGTAATCCAGTCTAGACGTGATAAATACATGAATCAGTTTTTCTGCATCATTTTTGGACAAGGTGTTTCTAATTTTAATGATATTAAGCAGGTGGAAAAAGTCCTGGTAACATTTTGAATGTGGGGGTTAAAAGACATGGCCTGATCAAAAATAAAACCAAGTTCTTTACATTAGAACTGGAGGCCAGATTAATGCCATCCAGAGGAGGTGAAAGGCTGCAAAGTTGATCCCTAAGATGTTTTAGCTACTGTTATGTTTATTTTAAGGCCCTGTCCCACTAGACAACTTATGAAATTTTTATGTCTAAATTGCTAATAAAAGTTATATTCAATCAATCAATTTGTTTGAATTACATTATGTACATGCCAATAATAAGCTTCCAGTTGATTTTTTCAATCCCATCTTCAATGTTTATGTCTTTAAAATATTCATAAGTTGTCTAGTGTGACAGGGTCTTTAGATTTAACAACCCAGTTTTAACTTTTTCCACAAGTTGCAGAAAAGTCAATCAATGTTCAGCCAAAAACAGCATTTTCACAGAGATTGAAGTTTCTTCAGTTTGTTTTGGAAATATGTTTTTACATTAAAAAAAGTTTAATTAAAATAAATAACTAAGAAAACAAATTGAGAAGAAGTGAAAAGTTGCTTTTATAGAAGATTTTGTCGGGTAAGAACAGATCCAGTCATAGTAGTCTGGATTTTAATTTACATTTTTACATTCATACTTTAATTTAAACAGTAATGAATTAAATTTAAAATAAAACAAAGTACTACAATATTTAAAAGAAAAAGTACAGATTTAAACAAATACTTTAGAAAAGTACAAAACACCCCAAATAATACTCAATTACCATTGAGTGAGTAAATGTCAGTCTGTCCACTTCTTCTTTAGAGTTACTTATTTACAGCAGGTAAAATAAGTATTTAACACGTCACCATTTTTCTCAGTAAATATATTACTAGAGGTGCTAATGACATGAAATTTTCACCAGATGTTGGTAACAACCCAAGTGATCCATACATACAAAGAAATCAAACCATAAATGTCCAGAAATGAAGTTGAGTCTTTAGAAGTGTGTGTGCGTGAGTGCGTGCGTGCGTGTGTGCGTGCATGCGTGCGTGCATGCGTGCGTGCGTGTGTGTGTGCATGCGTGCGTGCATGCGTGCGTGCGTGTGTGTGTGC